ATGAATACTTAGTTAGATAGACCAAGCATTACAAGTAATGAAATCAATTATCGGGTAGAGTAATAATAAAAACATGTTTTAAAGTTTAGTATTTATTTTTATAGTTTAATTAATCAGACTTCGGTTTTACTTCGATCAATTTACGAAGGGCTACATTTAGAAACTATAGTCTATAGTAGTTTCAATGCAGTTTGTTTGAAAAATTCATTGAATCTGTTAAATGTTCAGAATTTATGGTTCCCTATTTTTTAGGGTGCAAGGACTAGGGAAGTAAGAACTAGTACTTCTGCCTTATCTCTGGCGCTGCGGGAATAGCAGCCCCTCCGGCTTTGCGTGACAAAGTCACAAGCATCACTCCCCTTCACACCTTCGGCTTGCTCTCCCTCCGCGCCTCCGGGCTTTAAAAAACACTCTAGGGGTAGGGCAGACCAAGACCACGGCGTGTCGGGGTTGAGAAAGTCGGTTCTGAATTAAAGACTGTTGTAAAGTCACATTTACCTTTTTTTTCTAAGTGTTGAGCCCATACTATTTTTTATTTACCAAGATCTCAAAACAAACACGAAATGGCGAGACATCTGTCATATCGACAATAGTGCCAACTTTTTGAATTTATTCATACAGCCCGGTCCAAGCGATAAATTCAAGCTATCTCAAACACTGACTTATTACATGGACCACGAGCCGTCCGGCATTATTAATAATGACCGGGCAATGTGACAAATAGGTGAGTTTAGATTGTAATTAATCACTTGGCCCGATATGGCTGGGCATTATTCATACTGCTCTGGCATTATGAATACTGCCCGCATTAATCACTTGGCCCATAACATATACATTTAAATAATCAATTATTATAAAACAGATGTCTGAAATTTCTCCCCCTATTAATCCCCCCAAAAATATTTTCCCCCCAATAATCCCCCCATCGCTTTAAAAAACCCCCAAATTCCCCCCAATCTGGCATCAGTGCTCGCGTCCGCGTCTTGTGTTATCTGCCTCCATTGTGGCTATGGGTGCGGCCAGAGTGCACTCAGATTCAGATTCAGATTCAGATTTCGAAAACAAACGCGAGAAATAAACAGTGTAGTCGAAGGGTACGGCCAGATTGCACTCCTGATTCAGATTCAGATTCGGACTCAGAAAACAAAGCGCGAGAAAAAGCAGGCAACCTGCTTAGACTACACTGTTTATTTCTCGCGCTTGTTTTCAGAATCTGAATCTGACTCTGAATCTGAGTGCACTCTGGCCGCACCCTATCACCTGCTTTTCTCAAGCTGACATCTCACGAGCCTGTTTTCTGAGTCTGAATCCGATTCTGAACCTGCGTGCACTGTGGCCGTACCCTTACACCATCTGAATCAGAATCTGAATCCCATAGACTTAACTCTTATCTATTAGACAAGTCCGTCTGTCTGTGGTGCTGTCTCAGCGGCCAAACCGTAAGAGATAGATAAAGAGAATATTTAAGTTATAAGTTAAGAATAGTCTGATAAGACTACAAACCGGATTTGAGTAACGTAGCACTTCCGGTTTTCGAGAAATCAGGTTTTGGTGAACATTTGGTTCACTGGTTTGCTAGTTATAATATAATATCAGTACTTAGAGTACTAGTAAAAATAACTGTCGAAAATTTACCTTGTCTGCTATAAACTGAAGTTCATTTTACTTTGTCACATGCAAAGAGGACCTATCCAGGTCTGACAACATGCCAATCCAAAAAAATAAAAAAGTATGTTTTTTTCCAGGGTAAACTATGTTTAAAATATAAAATTTAATATATTTGGCCTCTTATGCGGAATTCTTAATTTGTTTGTCTGTAGTAAATTAATAATTAGTTTTCGATTTAATGTTGTGCCAAAACACTGTTTAATAAGGCTGGATAATCAAAATAAGAAGACTTTAAACAGCTCCATATTTTTATGCATTAAAATATTTCAAAATTAATTGAAAAAGTTTTAAATGTATAGTGATTGGCTCTACCGATACAATAATTCGGTGTTGCTTGGTAAGAAGCGGTACATTTCAAGCGATTCTTCCGAACAATTAAGCTTCGGCGTATCAGATGTTTTTCGGGTCATCAGACGAAAAAACTTCATTTTTAATCTGGTAGGGCCATTATTGGGACTTTTCTTTCTCTTAACTTAAAACGACAATACAATAATTATTTTAAAAAGCGGGTAAAATATAAATTCTAGTTTTTGTCAAACGACTTTCAAATAAGTGCACTACTGTTATAATTTATAATTAAAATTAAAACGACTGTTTCAATCAGCATTTTTTGAAGTTATACTTCTTTAGGCGCGTTATGAAAAAATTATGAGAGTAAATTTTAAGATGTGCGCGCATCACTGTAACACACCAAAGTAACAGCATGAAGTTCAGACCAACTTCATGCTGTTACTTTTGTGTTTACCGCACATTAAGAAAATCTACCAACAAAATAGAAATAGAATCTCTATTTAGTGGGTGCTAACGACTGCATTGTGAAGGCCTATCAAAAGTATTTATTAATCTGGAACAACGGAACCAAAGCACGATTCAGGAGACTACAACGCCATCTCTTGACCATTGGTGTAGTAGAACCAAAAACCACATCTTTATTTTTTGTAATAAAGTAACAGTTATAGGTATTCATATTTATAATATTTATCCACATTTTTCTAGTTTGTATATTCGGAATACGTGTTTGAGTTTCATACAAGTGCAAATCACATAATGTTCAAATAAATTATATTCAGTAGCGATTTTAATTGAATATTTTGATTATTTATTTATTTTTTCAAATTAAAACTGAACTTTATTGACCGTGTCCTTTTCCAGACTTTTTATTAATTTATTGTAATTAATTATTTGCATGCAATTAAAAACTAATTTTAAACGATGCCAAAGAAGGATAACTTCTCACGCGCTTACATAAGTACACGCACCCATTTTTTATTTATTTTTATATTTTTTCCCATCTTGGGAATAAGGCAGAGTCATGTAGAAAGATTTTTTTGTTTTTTTCAGCAATTTTATAATAACTACGTAGTAATACATTAAGGACGACAGACATAGGTGTCGATTCTGGCATGATTCTCTAAAGCTAAACTTAAATTTGACAACAGTGATGTCGATTCTGGCATAATTCTCTAAAGCTAAACTTAAATTTGACAACAGTGCATCCCTGTCATTCTCTATACAGAATGAAAAGGAGAGACTGATGTTAAATTTAGTTTTATGTTTAGAGAATCACGCCAGAATTGACACCAGTGTATCCTTGTCATTCTCCATACAGAATGAAAAGAACAGACTGATGTTAAATTTAGTTTTAAGTTTAGAGAATCCTGCCAGAATCGACACCATAGACTAACTACTCATATAACAACTACATGTCATAAGAATTTGGAGTCTGCCGGAGACTCACTACCACCCTCCATACAAATTTGAACCGTGTCCTTTATTCAAATGAGTTAATGGTATCGATTCTGGCGTGATTCTCTAAACTTAAAACTAAATTTAACATCAGTCTCTACTTTTCATTTTGTAAATTTTCAGCAAAGAAAATATAGAGAGATACAGATTATTATTTAGAGTCTGGCACACGAAACATGAGCCTTTAAAATGGCGCCAAAATAAAAAAAATAGATTATTATTCTATCTTGATTCAGGTTATTTTAAAACGATTTATTTGTTGGTCACACTACATAGGGCTGTTTATCGCTGTCACCTTCGCGTCACCTTGATTTTTTTTTGTTGTTGAAGTTCTCCCGTTTTAGGGAAGGTAAAGGGAACAATGCCCATACAGCCTGGTTCTTAATTAAATTAATCTTCTTTTTGTTTTTACATTAGAATGTCGGTGTAACGCATTCTAATGTTTCTTGGAGTGTTTGGCACGAAATGTATCGAGTTGGCTTTTTCGATAAGCTTCTGTGAGGTAGTCAACACTACAATAAAATTCTCACGTCCACTTGACCGGAATAGCGTATATTTTAACGATTCCACTAATTCTTCAGTTACGCAGATAGTTGTTACACAAAACCACACCAATTTTATTTCACAATATCCACTATGAACGAATTTAAGAATAATTAAAATAAGACGCCAACCGCACTCGATGAAATCCCGCCAAAAAAACCCGCGTCACCTTGAAACTGCAGCAAGGTTGCCAGGTACCTTAATTTTACAGGAAATCTCCTGTTTTTCTGAAATTTATCCTGTTCTTCTGTTTTTCTACATGAATCTACTGTTTTTCTTAGAATACGATTTTCTTTTTTTAATTGAACGAATTATGAATGTAGGTAACTAAATTATAATAAAATAAATATGATAATTTATAAAAAAAAGTGAGCCGTCACGGGACGCCTAGCAGATGTGAAACATCGACATTATTTTGTTTAAGTAATATGCAGAAAAGAACAGATTGCGATAGGCACTAAATAAATATGGCATAATGATAAAATAAAATATTACGACTTTTTTCCAGAAAATGATGACTGTTTAGTCAATAAACATTTCATCAACAGCCTATCCTAGTCCACTGCTGGACGTAGGCCTCTCCAATTTCACGCCACTCAGATCGATTTTGGGCTACTTGCATCCAGCTCCTGCCAGCCACCTTGCGCAAATCGTCAATCCACCGTGCCTGAGGACGTCCTACACTACGTTTGTTTGTTTGTTAAAATAACCATTTATTTTCATTTAATACAAAAATAGGAATCGATTGCGCATAGCGACGCGTCGCCACACAGTACACACTACCACATATAGTCTGTGTATATATGTATACCTACATATATAGCGATCTGTGATGTATACCATCATATAGCGTGGCGACGCATCGCCACGGCATGAGTCGCCACACTAGAAATCGGTTTTACGTGCGCATATAGATGTTTCACATCAAAAATAAACGAGCTGAGGGGTGGCAGAGGCCACAAAAACACATTTGTTTCTGGCCTACATCTTGATTTGATTTACCAATTCTTAAAAATTGGACTTGGCAACACAACTGCAGTCTGTCAATGTCACTGTCACGTGTCACGTGTTTGTTGTTTATATACCACTATAGCACAGTGACTGCAAAATATGAATTATCCCTTTTAAATATTATTTTATGTAATTTACGAAAAACATAATAATACGATTACACATTTAATTGTGGTTTATAAGACAGCAAACAACTGTTATTTATTGAGATTTTAAATAGCACACTATAACCTTACTATAACTGACTGTACCACTCGTAATGACGACGAATGGTACTACGGATAATGTGGTTTGTTAAAAATGTATAGCTTTTACTTAAAATATTATTTTTTTATCGCCTGGAAAGCACTTGAAATTGAAAAAGCCTGCATTCTGTTCTCTAATGCTTTCCATTTACTTATCCAAATACTTATGATTCTGTTCTTGTACGTTGGTTTGTGTTGAAACTACTGTGGTTAATGGGTTTTATTTTTTTATTTGAATATCGCTGTTAGGTGTTCAATATATTTTTTATATTATGTACTAACCTGCTTGGTTTAATTCCTGTTACATAATTTTAAAGTGAAACTTTTAGTTCAATTGTTTTAGGTCATCCTTAGCATGATGCATAAATTTTTTAATTGTTATTAACAAAATCTGACTTTATCAACAAGCTTCAGTGGTTCACTGATAGAAAGCTCGACTACTATGCGGGTTTGTTTCCTAGCCAAAGAATGACTTTTATTAACCATTTTTAAAGTTTCCTTTGCAAAGTGGTTTCATAGAATCACATTAATTTTAATCCCTATTAGTTTTTATCCTCTCTTTATTTTGTTTAAACCTCTATCAAATCTTCATTTTGTGTTGCTCAATTATTATATATATTGATTTAATAATTTTTTATAAATTTCTTTGACAGCTTAGGCAGTGTGAAAAAAACAGCAATTTAATTAAACGTTGGAAATGGGATATATCACAAATCATAACCAGCCAAGTACAGGGTCAGGCCAAGTATGCTGTGATTATATTGAATCGGCCTCTAAAGCTAAAGAAAAGCTTTTTAACAAGTTTGTGGAATAATGGTAAATAAAATGGCATATCTTCTTTATTATTTAATTTGTGGTCTTACATTATATTAACCACATGTTATATTACTATTATACAATAACTATATAGCTTCATAGGCTAAATAGGTGTCCAAATTTCTATCAATAATAGAAATATAATAACTTTGATGTTATCATTAAATAAAACTATTTATTTCATTGTATTGATGACTTGTTTTTTTTGAGAAAGGTAGTCAACTTGAAATACAGTAAAGATATATTAATAAATAACCAGTCCAGCAATGTAGCTGTAATTAAAGCATTGAAAATACCTGTATTTTTTATTCTCAAAAGCAATAAATTATGAATTAATATAAAGTAGTGCCTGCTCTTGCTTCATTTTGGTGTGGACAGGGCTGGCCTGAGCATTCTTGATGCAATAGGCAAAAATACTGAAATGACACTCAAAATACATATGGACAAACATTAATCAGATAGTGATCCACTATTTAGTTGGTCAGATTGTTGTTATGGACCACTTCTAGGACTTTACACAATACTGAGGTGACTTCTATTGGTATTTGATGAGAAAGAAAAAGAATATTACATTGTGATTTTTGCTTAAGTAATACTCAATGAAATGAGACAGATTAGTGCCTTGTCAAAGTTTTTTATGAAAACTAAGCAACACTCCTATCGGATGTAAAAACAAGCAACAACAAAATTTGACGATTACAATACTTTATGGAGCTGACAAAAACGTGTGCTTGGGCCTCTTATTAGAACCTTATGTGCAATGTCACCGCACCAATGTAAACAAAAATAATGCAAAACCGTAAAAGTTTGCGAATCTTTGCATATTGGAAAACACTTTCTCAAAACTGTTCCTACAATAATAAAAGCCCAGCTTATATAAAAATTGACAGAAATTAAAAGTATTTTCATGTTTTAAATAAATAAAAAACTGTATTGTTTATAAATTGCGATGTCTCCGATTTCGCCCCCGTAATGCGAGCGCCCTAGGCTATCGCTTAGTTCGCCTACATGGACGGGCCGGCCCTGGTTGTGAACTATCGTTTTTGGTCTATGTCATGTATGATACATATAAACCTTCCACTTGAATCACTATGTATTGCTAAAAACTGCATTAAAATCTGTTGTGTAGTTTAAGAGATCTCAGCATACTATGTTTCTTACTATTCACATTAAATTATTTGCTTGAACACAAGCTCTTGGAAAGCCTTAGTAAATATAGTTGAGTAATTTTACGCACTAAATGATTTATTTTTTATTTTAGCATCAGTAAGAGTCACTGTTGATGGTGGAACCTTACGATGGAACACATTTCTAAAGGAATTACCTGAAAATGACAGAAGCTCAATGAAACTTCCTGATTTAATTACTGGAGATTTCGATTCAATTAGCCAGGAGATCCTAAAGATATATGAAGCAAAAAGTTGTAAGGTTAAATTTTTTTTTAATAATAACTTTTGAACACTTAAAAATTACATTACAGATACTTGATGTAAATAAATATATTGTTGTATTATCTTACAATGACTATATGTACCTATCTCAATTTATTTCACACATAGTCACACACACCTTTCAAGTGCGTTAAATCCTAAAATAATAGAATAATTAATATAAATTATATTAAATTCATTTATTTTTAATTCCAGGTAATACACACACCTGATCAAAACCATACAGATTTTACCAAAGCTTTAATGGAATTAAACAAGTGGTGCAAATCAAATAGTTTTGAAGTAAGTATACTATTAACAGAGCCATTGAAAAAATTAATACCCCCAGAAGATCAGAATCAGTTTAGGATGGCTATTTTAATGTAACATATATTCTAGTAGGACATGCACACTCTGAAATCCCCATAAATTATACATTATTTTTTCAATATTTTCTATATATACATTAAATGAATTATTTGGTACTTATAGGAAATTTCTAGTGGCAAACATAAATAAAGGATAAATGTTTAAAAACTTTGCATCTTCCTTTCAGATTGATCATGCAATTGCAATTAGTCAAAGTTCAGGGCGATTAGATCAAATTATGGGAAATATACAAACTTTATTTCTAGTTAAGGACAAGGCATTGTTAGACTCGAAAACAAAGGCTTACATAGTCAGTGACGATGCAGTTTCATGGCTGCTGCAACCAGGAGACCATATCATAACTGTACCAAAGCAGATTGGAGTAGGAAAAAAAGTTTGGTGCTCTTTGGTACCTATTGGAGAAACTTGTTCACAAATAACTACAACTGGACTAAAGTGGAATTTAGGTATGTGGTCAATAAATACACATATCAAAAGAGTCTAAGCAACATGCATCATTTACGATATACAAAAGTTTTTTTTGCTTTAGTCACTAATAAATAAAAAAGTTATTATTCATAAAAGAATTTGGGTATTAAAAATATTTAATATCGGTCAAAAGTTCAAAAAGTTTATATTGCTTTGACTCTTTTAATGAGTATATTATTGTTGTACACCGTTTGTTTTTCATGAGTATGTATTTTGTAACTCTATAGCAAGTATTGTACACAAGCTGGAAACTGGAGCATACTGGCCAAAAAAAGGGGGTAAACCAAAGGGGAAAGGCGCAGGTTCCAAACAGGGCCCCGTGCAGAGGGGGAGTCCTTACAAAAACACAAAGATAGGAATGGAGAGGCCAGAGGCGGGGAAGCCAAAAGCACTAAGGAAGCCCAATGTCAAGGTGCCAAGCAACGCGGATGTGGCTATGAAACTGAAGACTAAGGCGGACGACCGAGCCTTCACTTACATGATCGTGGCAGAGACGGCGATGGCGGTCAGCCGTCCGTAGGCTTCGACGGAGGCCTGGTCACCAAGGACAGCCAGTCGGGGTTCAAACTGCCTCTGGTTCCTGGGCCTAAATATTTTTAGGCGTCTACCGAAGCGTGCCGAAAAAACTGACGCCCTGGCTAAGCGCCTGGGCGAGATAGTTAAGGAGTAAAATGACTTTAGTAGGCTGAAGAAGGTTGCCCACTTTCGCATTTCCGGACTCAAATAGTCTCTGACCGTCAAGTCAGGTAGAAGAAGAGGTCAAGGAAGCGGTGGCCGCTTAAAGGAGCTGCCCTCCGAGCAGGGTAGGGCTGCCATCCGTCCGGGTTTCCCCGGATTTGTCCTAGTTTACGGGGCGTCCGGGAAGCGTCCGGGCGGGGTTTTATTTGTAGTCCGGGTTTAAAAATTTACGGCAACGCATGAGTGGCCCTTGGTACTGCAAGTGTCCATGCACAGCAGTGACCAATTATTATGAGGTAGACCGCTAGCTCTTTTGCCTAGATCAACATAAAAAAGTTGATTTGTGACATTTTTAACTGTTTTTTTATTGGTCTGTCCGGGTTCTGGGCTCCAAAATCCGGGGTGATCACGCATCTTATCCTGGTTGCCACATTTTAGAGATGGCAGCCCTAGAGCAGGGTCACGATAGGAGGAATCGACCACGGACAGGCACAGGGGTTACAGGCGTTCGGTGCCCCGTAGGGGTTGCTAAGAAAGTAGCTCGGGTCCGAGTCCTCGGTTTACGCACAAATTGCTTCAGCTAAGGAGGATCGAAGCGATCTCTGCTTCAGATGCGGGAAGGTGGGACACATGGCGGCGATGTGTCCGCTGTCCGTCTATCTGTCATCGGGCTGTATCTAGTGAACTGTGATAGCTAGACAGCTGTAATTTTCACAGTTGATGTATTTCTGTTGCCGCTATAACAACAAATGCTAAAAATAGAATAAAATAAATATTTAACGGAAATAACGGCAACAGGTAGACGCTTCAAAATATTCACACAATATTTAGTTGTATATTTACTTTAAAAAGAAATAATTAAAATAAAATAATTATTTTAGGGGGTTCCCATACAACAGGCGTGATCTTTTTGCCGGATTTGCTCGATATTATCTGATTTTGTATAGATATGGTATGGAATTAAAAAGTATATTGATGAGAAAGCTATTGTACTATTATGGTTGGAATACTATTATGGCGGTTTTGAGTTGATTTGTTACTTCGAAATGATTCTCATTTAAAAAAAAACGCTTGCTTCAGTAAATACGATTAATGAAGTGTTAGTATATTCCTGAATTCCGTTTAATTTATACCAAACTTCTATTTTTTTAATTATTAATAACATAAAGATAATGTTTGCTGATTGGTGTTATGTATTGTATAAAGTATATCGTAAATAAAAACCGGTCAACTGCAAGTCAGACTCGCGCACGAAGTATTATACTATAAACTTCTTATAGGTTTTTCTGTAATCTACAAGCAAAGAGCTCCATTCCATATTTTATTTCTGTAAAACCTTACAGTGGAATTTCTTAAATCCTACTAATATTATAAAAGAGAAAGTTTGTATGTTTGTTACTCAATCACGCATAAACTACTGAACAGATTTGAATGAAATTTGGTATGCATACATTTTATGACCTGCCCCTCTAGCATGACCACCGAAACGGGATATGATAAAGCGATATATCGGCATTAACTGTCAGACTACTGTCAGACTCCATTGTATTCTGACAGTTAATGCCGATATATCGCTTTATCATATCCCGTTTCGGTGGTCATGCTAGAGGGGCTGGATGACATATGATACTTTTTATGCCGGCAAAGTGTCAGGTTTCCTGAGGGATTTTCAAAAACTAAAGTTAACGCCGACGAAGTCACAGACAGCCGCAAGTAGATTATAAATGAATAAATGAATCACTTTATGGTACACCATGAGATTGTAAATTACAATTAATTAAGACTATATTAATTACTATTATAAACATTTTTAACATAAAATATTCACATATACTTTATCGACATAGCGATGCTATTGAGGATCAATTTATTTGCAGACAATCAGCCATTAAAATTTGGAGATATAGTGAGTACATCAAACACATTTGATGGATCAGAAAATGTAACAATAAAATGCACAAACACTGTTTTATGGTCAATGAAAGTTCCTGACTTAATAGGTGAGTCTAGTGATAATTGATTTTAGTTATTGAATTTATCTAGTTAGCGCTATTGTTATGATTTAATATTCTTTCAAGAAAGTAAGGCATAATAAACGTGCAGCAAAATACAGACAAATGCCCTTTTATTATTCTCCTGTTTTTCTACAGTGCGACCATTGAAAGAATGCCTATGTGACAGATCGTGTCAGTTCCGAATAAAGTACACCTTGAAACTAGTAAAAAAAAGGTCCGAAAATAAACTTTTATTCTGTCTCCATAAGGAACTGACATGACCTGTCAGCATTCTTTCGTTAGTCGCTATTTAAAGGTAAAAAGAAATACAATTACTATACCATGCATGTCATCTTCATCAGCAGCCTATTTATTTAGCTCTCACTGCTGTGGCACAGGCCTTCCATATGGATGGAGGAGGGAAATTGGGCCAAGACTTACCACGCAGGCCCATTGTGAATTGGTGGCTGCTAAGGACTGCAAACAAAGCCGGGACCAAAGGCTTTACTTGACTTTCAAAGCACGTCGGAGTTCGCTATGATAAAGTTTTGCCCACCCATCTCATGACCGGCCATTGCGAAAGATCTACCATGATCGCAGACCGAACACGCTTACCACTTGCACCATTGAGCTCTTCAAGTAACTTATTTAAAATGTATCAGACGATTGTGAGTAACATTATAGGAACGATTATTTTAACTTTGACATGTACCCTTAGTACGAGTTTTACAATGAGGGCTACCGTTTTTTGTCTCACCAGATGGCGCCATTGTTGAGTGAGGTCCTGAATTGTAACTTTTAATGTTTATTAATACGTGCGCGAAATCAAAGTATAAATTTAAATCATATTTTAATACAAAAGAACCGTATCCTAAACATAATTGGCCATACCACAGTGTTGCGCAGCTCCGTTTTGTACGGCAAAAAGGAGGACATAATTATTTTTCTTAGCTCCGCTTTTAAATAACTGACAGTCTATGCCACGTTACTCATATTTGCTATAATTAAGCCGAGTTATTACTAAATATTCACAACATTATTTTAATTAGAAATAAACCCGCGTAGTCAACCCACAACCAATAACATTTGACATTTCGGAGACCTCACGCTACACAAGCGCCTCTAGCGGCGGATTCATACGCGATAGCCCTCATTACGAGGGTTTTAGGCACTCGTACTAAAGGTACTGATTTTATTGTTTTCGTTTCAATACAAATAAACAGTGTTTAAATTTATCATTTGCGGCTTCTTAAATTTTAAGTATATTTGGTTACTTTTCACCAAAATAGACTTAGAAACATAATTTACAATTACGAAAACTAAGTATGATAGTTTTTGTGAGCTCAAACTCGTACTAAGGGTAATGTTCTTTGTTGTTGCAGATTCATGAGTTGTCCTGTCTAACTTCGAATTAAGTTTTTATTGGAATTTCATCTCATAGTGAGCAGGTTGACATAATTTTCGTTTTTTAATATGGGTTATATTGTAAACAGTTTTATTGTGGAATTATTTAATTACGAATAGAGGTTCGACACCCGATGGGCTTGTACTTAGGTTTATGGATATTTGAAGAATGAAGTGTGTATTGAATAAAACGATCCTACTAATATTATAAATGTGAAAGTTTGTGTGTTTGTTACTCAATCACGCAAAAACTACTGAACGGATTTCGATGAAAGGAGATTGCTCAAATTGGCCTAAATACACAAAAAATATTGACATACACGGTAATTCTTGGCGTAATTTATAATTTAATTTACAGTCATTAGATTTCAACGGACACCTTTGTATAATATATTTACTTTAAAAAGGACTTTTAGTTTTACCGGTTTGGAAAACATACGAATCATTTTTAATGGCTATGGGTGTAGTAACATTCAGCCAAAGACTGATCGAAGTTGTTTATATAACATAAAAACAAATCTATTTTGTAAAGATCGATAAAATAAATCATTTTTTTTATTACACTGTGGTATTAATATCCATAACTATATTATCATTTTATATTACAATTATTATAGATGGTAGGCGACATCATAAAGTCTATTGCCATACATTTTTCGCCAAACACCTCCATAAACACATTATAATCTGTATATATGTTAGACTTTAAGGTATCTATCTATGGGGCTACGTTCCTGACTATAAATTAATAAATAAATAAAATTATAAGGTGTGATACACTAAACATCTAAAATATGGTTATCTTAAAAACTTAACAAAAATAATGAAGCTACTGAATATATGGCTATAGAACCTAAATCTCTTCTAGCTTTCTTTGGTTAACGAGAGTTTAAAAATTCTCTCTAATCTGTGGCTCATTCACAATCATCACACAGTTTCTGTCACAGAGTACCTTATTATAACCGGAAATGACACCTGATTTTAAAAGTTACTCTTATGCATTAACTTTAAAAACAGACAGCTATCTGTTAATCTACATGCTCTATATACCTGAATCTAATCCATAATTTCGGTACTTGGCTTGATTTCCCTAGTTTATTATATAACTTATTTGTTTTTTATTATTTTAACATGTTCAGTGTATATGGTTTATAGAAGTTCTCAGGGGTGTCCGTCAATAATATTCGTTTCTACAGTAATTTATATATAATTTCGAATCTAGGAAACAATTTTTCATGATTATTGGTCTTTAGGCCAAACATGTATGGAAGCTGAGCAATCTCCTTTGGTACGCGTATATAGTTTATCACCTGCATTGAGACATAGGATACTTTTTGTCCCGGAAAAATGTGGGGTTCAAAAGATAAAATAAGGTCGAGGGCGGCCGCTTGATTATTCATATTTTTTACACAAGTTTAAGGCACTTTTCATTTATTTATTTGTTTCTTAGGTTTTCACGCACACCATTCATTAAATAATACAATTAAAAATGCGTCTTCTTATAACTTTTCGACGTTTCGCATCCTTTTGAGAAAGAGAAAAAAAACAGCCCTTGCTGAGTTTCTTGCCGGTTCTTCTCAGTACAAGGTCTCCCGCCGTAGATTTACGAACCGATGGCGTAGCTTCTAGACATTCATGAGTGCTTGTAACAGCCTAAACTGAATAAATGATATTGATTATGATTATTATGATTTTCTTTTTTCATAGATAGCTCAATAAAGTAAATTAAAAAACATAATTCTGACGGCGCAGCCTGAAAAGGATGCGAAATGTCAAAAAAGGAATAAAAAGACGCAGCTTGTTTTATATAATTTATTCAATCAGTATATTTATATAATATTATATGCCGCTGCGTAAGACAAAAAGGTTGTGACGTATTTCTAATCTACTATATAAAAATAAGTCGGGTTTTCCTTCCTGACGCTATAACTTCAGAACGCACGAACCGATTTCCACGGTTTTGTATTCGTTGGAAAGGTCTCGGGCTCCGTGGGGTTTATAGCAAAGAAAATTCAGGAAAAATTATAAAAAAAAACTTCTTTTAATCACCAAACGAAATGTTACATAAAAAGAAGCCATTTGGTGGCGAAACGAAGTTCGCCGGGTTTGCTAGTACCGTATAAAAATATGTATTATTAATGAGGTTCTTTCAGACTTTGTAAGGCAGCCAACGATATTTTCTGCTCTAGCTAAACTCTTTATAATTGAAATATTTTTTTAGGTATATTCAAGCTAAACTCTTTATTTTTTTTTTCTTCTTTTATTTTGGCAACAAACAGTCATATATTTTACAAAAGTTACTTATGTTAAACATTTTTTTTATGAAATAGACCTAACAGTGCCTAAACACAATATTAAAACAGTTCTGAAGTTAGGACATGGTCAGCTAATGAAAATACAAAATTAAACTATTACAGTACACTAATGTATGACGAAATATTTATACCATATGCATATACATATATATGTGTCTGTGTACACACACATATACATACATACGCACTTTATTTTTATTTCAAGCCTCTCCTGACAGTTTTACATTAAGTTTACTTTTAAATGTAGCAAGAGACATATTAAAGAAATCTAATTCAGAGAATTCCTCGTTGTACGTGTTGGTGGAACGATAAAAGAATGTGTTTCTCGTATATTTTTTGACGTTTCGGTGGAACAAACAGCGGTAGTGTACGTGAGGAGCGCATAGGAAGTCGAACTCGACATGGAAATCGAATATTTTCAAGGAGTGCGGACGAATCTATAAGCGAGTTCAGTATTTTATAAAGAAAAGTAATGTCACAGATTTTTCGGCGATTACGCAGTGTGGTCATCTTATAGACTTCTAAGGATTTTTCGTATGTATCATTTACAAAATTATTACGATAATTTAGAGATCTTAAGAACTTTTTTTGAACTCTTTCAAGTCTGTTGATGTGGACATTATAATAGGGGTTCCAAACAGTGCTACCAAACTCAAGAACAGAGCGAACAAAGGCAAAATACAGGGTTATGAGTGTTTTTGTATTTCTAAATGGTTTACTTACTCTAAGAATGAAGCCCTATCTCTTATATGCAGCGGCCACAATGCAATCAATGTCATAATTAAAGGATAACTTTGAGTCCATCAGTATTCCTAAATCTCTTATACGGTCCATCCTTTTCAGAGGTTTGCCATTTATATAATAATTAAAATGAATTTGGTTCTTCTTACGAGAGTAGGATATAACGTAGCATTTGTCAATGTTTAGAAATAATTGGTTATTTGTGCAGTATTTACTTAAAGATTCCAGGTCTGCTTGCAATTTAATAGCATCATCTTCAGATTCCACAATCCTAAATATTTTAGTATCGTCTGCATAAAGTAGATGATGACTGTGGTTGAAGACGTGGCCAATGTCATTTATATAAAAAGAAAATAGCGGAGGGCCTATATGTGAGCCCTGTGGAATGCCTGATGGTATTGGGAGGAACTGTGACGAGAATCCCTTGATGCAAACTGACTGGCTTCGATTCTGAATGTAGGACTGTATCCATCTCAGTAGATTACCATGTATGCCGGCTGCTAAAAGCTTATTAATAAGAGTATTATGATTAATTTTATCGAACGCCTTCGAAAAGTCAGTATACACTACGTCCACTTGAAGATTTTTATCCATAGCCTGTGCAAGGTAGTCTGTAAAAGTTACCATGTTACTATCAACGCTCCGCAGCCTGTAAAAGCCATGCTGATGGGGGGAGATAAAGCTGCGAGCCGCCTGGGCAATACCTTCAGTTACAATTTTCTCTAAAATTTTACCTAAGATACATAGTTTAGAGATGGGCCGATATTCAGTTACAATATCTTTATTATTATTCTTTGGGATTGGGGTCACCAAAGCAGACTTCCATTTAGTAGGAAAGACACCAGTCTCCAAAGATGTTTTATAAATAATAGTCAGAGGTTTGGTGAGTTCTCTAGCGCAGCGACGGATGAAAATTGGGTGAATACTGTCAGAACCAGCACCTTTGTTTATGTTTAATTGATTTAGTTCTGTAAATACACGAGATGAATTGACTTCAACTGAGTTAATATCAAGATTTGTCTGAACGCTATAACTACAATCATGTATTGGTTGGCAAGGGTTGGAGGTAATAAAAACAGAGTGAAAATACTGATTAAATGCCTCGCATATCTCAGTGCCAGTAGAGAGTAACTTATCATTGTACCACATTTTAGATGGAATATCACCCGTGGCCTTTTTTGACTTGACGAAGGACCAGAATAACTTTGGATCTGTATTAATATTTTTTTCTGAGAATTCTATGTATTGGTTATGACAGCATTCATTCATCCTCTTAAAGCGAGCCCTTAATTTGGAAAAAATGTGATAATCATAATGATTGCCATATTTTCTCCATTTTTTGTGGAATTTGGCTTTTTCCTTGCTTAATTTAATAAGAGGAACAGTAAACCAAGGGGGATATTTTTGCTTTAAATTTAATTTACTTCTGGGTACATGTTTAATGATTAAATTGTCAATAAAATTATAAAAATGGCTTACCATATTATCCACGTTAATCAAACTATTTAAAGTATCCTCCCAGTCAACAGATTCCAAGGCTGATTTAATAGAATCGAAGTCGGCTTTATGAAACTGTAATTTAATATTTTTTGAGAAATTAAGCGGCGGAGATACATTTAACTTAATGCAGATTTCCAAAGACTTATGGTGCGGATCCTCTGGCACTAGAGGATGATTACAGGAGGAAACCATACACTGAACATTACAAAAAACTAAATCCAGTATCCTATTGTTCCTATTAAACTGTGAATTAAATTGTAGCAGGGCAGAAATGTTCATAAAATCTGCTGTGAGACAGGCTAAGTTATTATTATTTGTGAATAAATCCATAGAATTATTATTTTTAAACCAATGGGCGTAAGATACATTGAAGTCCCCTAATACCAAAAATACGTCATCTGGATTATGAATGATGAATTCGCTCACTCTGTCATAGAAAGTACTTAACAATGACTCGTGATTAGCACTGTGTGCTATATCGACCCTTCCAGGATGAAACGTAGTAAAAGCCAAAACGGTATTTTTCAATACGGCCAAAAAACAAAAACGGTGAAGTTTGTTTCCCGTATATTTTTTGATTCGCTTAATTTATAACAGACCACTATAACTCATTAAGCTTAGTTTTTCGGGTTGCTTACTAAAAAGAAACTCGGAATAGCCTACATTCATTAGTTCCAGAGATAGCATGGCTTTTACTACAAAAAAACAAGTTGTAAATGGTTTCTACGACATTTTATTTCTGCTTGGCAAATGTAATCTTTTTTCCTTGAAGTTGTATAAGACTTCATAAATTATTTCATTAAAGGGATTTTTGAATTAAATTACAATTGCGATAAGAATAAAGTTTAATTTAGTGAAGTAAATGCAACTAAGTGCGCGGCATATTGCCCACCGCACTGCTCCCCGTCTGCTGCGGAAGGACTGCGTAGTTCCCCTCGCAGGCCCTTCCGCGGCCCTGCCATGTAGGTTAGGTACAAAAGATAGCTGACGCCACGGAATCCATCGGTGGCTGGCAAGGCTAACGCCATGCCGGACAGCAAGTGATTCAATTAGATAGGGTCACTGCACGTGCGCAGCCAGGGCGCACCTTCGCCTTCATGTGCCTGTTCTTTTGCGGTGGCAGAGGACGGCCAGAGGATTGTCCTCCTGTCCCCTCTCGGCCTCCTCTTTCTTTGAGATGACGTCGTCACAGAGAGAGGCGACTCCTTCCAAGCCTTCTCACTACTGTGTATAGCCTCGACCATGCTCGGCAACGAGTGAGAGAACCTACTGTCCTAGGTAAACAATTCACACGACCCTGCTCAATAGTGTTTTCAATAAAACACGAATTTTGGGGCCCACAACTAAAGCCAACAAGCCGTACTTACGTCTAGGTAACGTCCAGAACTTCGTTTACATAGAATATTGGTTTGTTCTACCAACTTACATCCTTTATTTTTTCACTCCTTGTAATAAAAAAACTGTGACTAATCGAAGCCTCCTTTTCCGAAGTCCCTAGTATGTCTACATCAAAATTGTTGGTAGTATCGTGTCTTTTACTACAAAATTTTCAATAGTATTATTTTCCAGTACTGTATTATAGATGTTGTTTTGACCGTGGAATGAGAAAATATGTCTCTTACTACATAAATTTGAAAAAAATATTTCCAAAATTGCTCATTATGACATTTTACAAGAAGAAAATGGGTTTAGGGCATTAATTGGAGCGTGTTGTAAAAGACATTTTTTCGCGAATTTGGACATTTTAAATATACAGATCGATAGAGCTCGCGATTCTGATAAAGAAACCGTTAAAAACAGATTTTGGGTAAAATGGCTTATACGACGTTTCATCCTGGAAGGATCGATATAAGTGCAGATTATATGCAATTGACGTGAAGCGATCGAGGCGGACGGGGCATCCGTGTGCAGTGGCACTGAGAGCCATACCTCTTCGGCTGGCGGAGCCGCACGCACGTCTGCCCGATGTGTCGGGCGCAACTTACGATCCACAGCTATTACTACGCCGCCACCTCTCTCACAGTTACTAGCTGCAACACTACGGTCGCATCTAAATACTTCATAGCGTGCATCAAAGTACTCGGAACTATAAAAGTTTTTATTAAGCCAAGACTCCGTGACGCAGACAATATCATAATTATTATTTAGTACAGCTTGCAGAAAAGAATGTGACTTTGTGCGTAAACCCCTCACGTTCTGATAATAAATAGAAATATTAGTGTTATCGAATTGTGTAATATTTAAAAGTGATATGAATAGTGTTGTTCCACCAACAAGAGAACGAGATTTTGATTAAAACAAACAACAAAATATAACACGAAAAAGTAAT